TCGGCGGACAAATGCCGCTCCGCGTCTCCCAGGTCTGCTGGGGTGGGGGGTGCTAGCTCCGCGTCTCCCTGGTCTGCTGGGGGGAAGTGTCCCCCGCGCCGCCGGAGGCAGCAACAGTGGGGGAGGCACCCCACACTAGCTGCGCCTGACCCCCCCCCTTTGTAACTAGGGGTCCGACTTAAGGCAGACTGACGTAATCCGGGGACTGCCTGTAATTCAGTCGGCACACCCTGCAAATTCTAGGTATGCAATTAGGAAAACTACCTTATCCTGTGAGACCGTCTCGGTTATAACAATCTTGTGGCCCACTGAAATGAAAGGGGGCCACTCATGTGGCCCACTCACTAACCTAGGGTGCCAATTGATGCTTGAGAACCCTTTGAACCCAGTTTTTTCCTTTGGGCCCACATAGAGTGCCCCAATAAATGGTACTAAATCATATTAAAAATGCAACTTAAATATTCATTTTTTTTAAGTCATCCAGGCTTTAGGTGAGCATCTTAAATTAAGACAACAAGTTATTGCCACTGCTACAGTCTACTTCAAGAGATTCTATGCCAGGTAGGACTATTTACTATGATGGTACAAGAATAATTTGTTAGGTAGATTTTGATAGCCTATTAAAATGCAATAATAAAATAAAAATACAATTTTTGTTTGTGAATAGTGTAAAATGTTTGTCGATGTTAATTTAAAGTTTTTACTTTTTACTTTTCCAAAGAAAGTGTGGTGTTCTTGAAAGATTAATATGTGAAAGTAAAACACTATATAATTTTGTTATAACATTTCAGATATTCCCTAAAAAGTATAGATCCAGTATTAATGGCTCCTACATGCGTGTTTTTGGCATCCAAAGTAGAGGTATGAAGTATTATCATTTTCTAATGTAAAAGTATATAATATATAAGGGAGATGAAACATTTAGGGTTCTTAAGATATTTTTTGTTGTTTCCATGATTTGGGGGTTCAAACTTCTATTTGTATATGGATTTTCCTATCGCTTTACCATCAGAGAGAAAAGGCCCAGTGACAGTTGCTAAAAAATATTATTTCAAACTTACAATGTGTCCTGAGTTTCTGGCCTGTTTTCTCAACCCTAAAGGATCTTGAAAACCTTTAATAGAATGTTTAGATGAAATATAGTTGTACAGGCAGTCCCCGGGTTACGTACAAGATAGGGACTGTCGGTTTGTTCTTAAGTTGAATTTGTATGTAAGTCGGAACTGGTACATATTGTAGGGGAAACTCTAGCCAAACATTTCTCCAGAGCTCAGTTTTATTCTCCCACACCTCACTTCCCTCAGTCCTTTATTCTCAAGCTGAGGTGTCTGCTGTGAAAAGCCGCTCCGCGTCTCCCTGGTCTGCTGTGGGGGGGGGAGGGCGCTAGCTTTGCGTCTTCCTGGTCTACTGGGGGGAAGCAGCTAGTGCGGGGTTGCCTCACCCCGTTTGTAAGAAGGGATCCGATGTAAGTCAGATCCATGTAACCCGGGGACTGCCTGTAGTTATTTATAAATCTAAAATTGTGCTGTTCTGTCAATTTTCCATTTTTCTGTTGTTCAGTTTTGTCTTTTATGTATAGAAACTGGTTAAATGTTTCTTCTAGTTTTCAAATATAACTGAAATTCGACTGTGATTTTCACTGTAAATGGGAAGGGATCTCCAAAATTTACCACACTTACTTTTTAAAATTTCAGTAGCTCAGCTGTTTATTTTGAAAAAAGAGTGTATATAGTTGGATGGTAAAGGATATTAGTAAGGAGATACTAGTCTTCCTAGCTGAAGTTCCCTGACGTGAGCATGGCCAGGGTAAGCAATGCCTGAGATTTTTTTTTATCATCTGGAGGCTGTTCATAGCCCTTTGTGAAATAAAAGGATCTCAGGTCATTCCTTGTTAAGTGTCCACATTTCCAGAAAACATACCTGTTATTTGAAAACTTTAATGTATCCATACAAGGGAATTTTCTCACACACAAAATCTGCTGACGTTACAGCTGGTTCACCTGAACCATGGTTATCACTAGTAGAAGTCTTTGTATAGATTAAGCTCTGGCAGCATTTGGTGTATGTTCATTTTCTTTTTATCACTGTGTTAATATTATCTGCTGAAAATATCAGATAGAAATAACAGATACATAGTTTTAATTTACACAGTATGGAAAACACTGGATGCCAGCAAAGGCTTGTCTGTAATAGGTCTCCCACTAGTGTTAAAAGGACAGCTGAACTGGTGTTAGCACTGGCAGGAATTGTTCTATAAAATTACCTTATGTAAATAATGCCTTGTCTTCTCTATTAATATTTCCAGCAGTATTGGATATTGAGCTACCCTAGCAACATTAACAATGGCTTTCTAGAATAGGGTTTCCCCTCAAACAAGGTTATAATGTATTGGTAGTGGGATGTTTGATCTTGCAGTGTGACTACTTATTCTGTATGGGTACTATAAATAAATCTGGAAATGTGAATCTGACATTTCTGAGCATTAAGTGTTTGTTACTATTTCTGTTTTAATGAGAACAGTGGAGTAATTATTAAAAGAAAAGTAATTTCTGTCTTGATATATTTTTACTTAAATAATTAACTTATTTCAATCAGAATGAGAAATTGAATAGTGAAGAAAATATTTTAGTTAAAATACAATGTAAAAAAGAAACAAGAGAGCAAAACCTTGTGCTTTTAAACTGATTAAGAACTGTGATCAGATGACATTTCAGCAAGTTCAATACTAACTTGATCATCTCATTTACTACTCTTTGCTCAGGAATTTGGTGTGGTCTCAAACACAAGGTTGATTTCTGCTGCTACTTCTGTATGTAAGTGTAAATGATGTATTTGTTATAGTATGTTAAGTAGTCTCTTCTCAAGGTAGAGATGTTCACTTAGTAAATAAATGGTTTCTTATTAAATCATGAGGGATTTTTAACCTTGCTCCATAAGAACAACTTGTATATAATCTGTAGAGCCCTGCAAATCTACGGACATCTGCTTTATCTCTGGACTTCTGCAGATATAAAGCGGATGTGGATGTGGTTATCCAGGGCTCACTTTTCTGGATGTAGATACAAATTTTGCATCTAGAACCCTGCAAATTTGTGGATATCAGTGGGAATCCACATCCAGAGATGTGGATATCCACTGCTCATTTTTGTGGATACAAATACGGATGTGAATACAAAATTTTGTATCTGTGGACTCTAACCATCTATGTTTTTATGAGAAAAGACACCTGTTTTAAGGATGAATATGGAAGAAAAGGTCTTTCTTATGTATTATTTTACAATGGTATGAGTTCTAGTAGGAACATATCAGGCAAATCACAGCCAAAAATAAGGTGCCATGATGATTATCCTAATAAAGAAGCCCTGAAAATCAGCTCTATGTTTCAGTTCAAACAAAGGTGTAAATCAGATGAGTTGAGCTTTATTTGTCCTTTTTTTCGTGATTCCCTTTCATAGACCTATTGCTCTGTTTGAGATTCTTGATAAAGCTCCATACTTTTTACTTATTTTTAAAATACTTTTTGTTAAGAAAATTAGTCATTGCAAACACATTATTATAGATTATAATTCATTTTCATAGGTAAAGCAAAAAGATACTCAATTTTCATAGAGATAATATTTGGTTAGAGAAAACACTTAAAATTATTTCCCTCATTCTTCTCTTCCATTCTCTCCTATAACTTCCTCTCATTTACTGAGGTCCTTAAACTAATGACTTATGTAGATGAATTCCATGATCCAGCCCATGAGGTCCAGCTGCTCTCAGCTGACAATTTCTCACTGCATTGCTCTTTAAAATATAGGTCAATGCACTTAAACCCTCACTTACAGCATGAGAGGGCAGGTGATTGGCTGCATTTGTAGCTTGCATGTGCAGTGTATTACTCCATTAGGTTGGCCCTGGGACAATTCCACCACCAGGAGCTGAAATGCTTCTCAGTCCTACCCCAAGCAACTCTAGAGGACAGGTTATTGCTGACCTAGAGTGGCATCCATAATATAGTTTTAGTTTTAAAAATAAAAGATCTTCAGGTTGGAATCTTAAAGTTCATGGAATCCTAAATTTTGATATTTGGAAAAAGATTAAGGTTGCATATGATATAATCTTCTAAAGACTGACATACTTTAATTGAAAATATGTATATAGAATTCTGTGATTAAAAATACATTGGTACTGCGGTTAGTAGTAGACTTGCCATTTTACATTAAAATCTTAACAAAAAGGCAGATTTGTGTGGTACGTTTGTACAGCAATGAAGAAAGCAGACCTGTATTTGATAAAGATACAGGAATCTAAATTTTATGTTAGTCTGTAGGAATCTTGCTTTTTTTAAAATCCCCCTACATCAGAATCCTGTAGAGAAATGTCCTCTTCAGTGCTTTAAAAATGGAATACTCCACTGCACTTGAGAGCACATATTGATGACAATGCACAGGTGACGTTTTCTTCAACTTCATCTTTGTCATCTGCTTGTGCCTCTGTTAGCAGAACTTCTTCAGCAACACAGGTTCAGCTGGTTGGTGGAGAATTTTGGAGAGGAGGGAAGAGATGAGTGGTAGAAGTAGGAGATTCATAAAAGGCAACTAACAAAAAGGAAGATCTGTAAGTTGGTTGAGGCATTTTGGTCTTTTGCACTTTATGCAGTGGCTAGAGACACTGAAGAGGTAATATACACTTCCACTTGGGTAGAAAGCACCTTAAATTGATCTTTAGCAAGCTCTTTACAATACCCCTGAAGGTGAGGAACAGCTCAATAGGGAGCTCGTTCCAGCATTCTTTGGAAATAAAATCTTTTCCCCACAACACTTCCCAAATATTGGGATTCTTTTGCCAATAGGACGTTTTCTGTCCTACTTCAGAATCAATTAAAGAGCCATGATGAAAGGACCATTCACTGATGGGTATAACTGACCTGCAACTTGGGTTTAAAACTTGCCTTGGTCAGGTTATATCTTTCCAACACTTTTAATGCTGTTTTTCTGGGATGTAGTGGTATACACAAGGTTTTGTTTTTATAATTATTATAGAATTATATTGTTTACATTAGTTTGTATATTGTTTCTGGTGTAAAAAAAAACAAGTAAATGAAGTTATAGTAGTATGCTGAATAAATAATTCACGTAATCAGTGAGCAGGTCATTATTCTTTTTAATCTATCAACCAACTAAAAAATTCCCTTTTAATTTGAAATAACTAAAATTTCCATCTCTTGGCATGATCACATAGACAGAATTCATATGGAAGCACATGTGCATACATACAGGCAGTCCCCGGGTTACGTACAAGATAGGAACTGTAGGTTTGTTCTTAAGTTGAATTTGTATGTAAGTCGGAACTGGTACATATTGTACCCCAGGTGTCCCCGATTCAGCTGCTGATGAAACTGACCAGCGGCTGACTACAGGAAGCCCGAGGCAGAGCTGCTTTGCCCCGGGCTTCCTGGAATCAGCCGCTGATCTGTTTCCAGTCCCCGGGTTACGTACAAGATAGGAACTGTAGGTTTGTTCTTAAGTTGAATTTGTATGTAAGTCGGAACTGGTACATATTGTACCCCAGGTGTCCCCGATTCAGCTGCTGATGAAACTGACCAGCGGCTGACTACAGGAAGCCCGAGGCAGAGCTGCTTTGCCCCGGGCTTCCTGGAATCAGCCGCTGATCTGTTTCAGCAGCAGCTGACTTGGGGACGCCTGGGTTTCTTAAGTTGAATCTGTATGTAAGTC